TGGGATGTATTATCAAATTGCTGCTGCTGCTTGCTGTGATGGGCGGCGCAGCGGCCTTGTATTGATTTATACTATCAAGCTCATTCGCTGCTGTGGGGCTGTCTACTGTTAGAGTGTTGCTGTTTTTGTCGATTGTAGCAATGGTTTCAATGAATGGCGTCGTATTTTCATTCTCAATTATAGTTTCTAGTCCCTGCCCTTGCTCTTCATCATCTGACTCACTAAGGCCAATTGCAGTATGAAATGTTTGCACAGAAAATGCACTCCTACTTGATGTAGAAGGCATTGGCCGTAAATTGTTCAAGTGAGAGTTTCTACTTGTTGATGGCGTAGGATTAGGTGTAAAGAAATCATCATCAGGAACAGACGAAGCCGATACATTTATTTCTGGAGTTGTAGTTACATATCTTGCTAAGGTCTTGCCTAATAGCTTGCCATCTTTGCGATTATCTGCTAATGGCATTTTAATTGTAAGGAAAAAAGAAACGAGCTCTAAACAAATCGACCAACATTATTTATACTGATTCGTTTGTTGGGCGTTCTTTTGATGTGCAACAGCAAACCCCTTAAGCGTCATGTATCATATATCGTAAGTATGAAATCTGAAAATAAATGCGTCGTTTCTTTGTTTGGTTATTTATATTTGCTTAAACCTTGCGAAAAATATGTATAATATGATACACTCTTAAGAGTAATTTTTATGGATTGATTCCCTGTTAATTTACACGCAATCGTTACCCCTGATTTTTTACCTTAAAACGGACGATGAACCTAACCCGTTGATTTTCACGTCTTGTGCTACTGTTTGGAATGAATCATACAAATACCTACACATCTTTTGTCGAAATGGTTAGACCTCTTCAGGCGTAGCTGAAATCTTGTTGAAATGTAGGCAGTGAAATTGAACCAACACGCGTTAAAAAACAAAGATTAAAGCATTCACTGGTATTCATGGTATTCTAAAAAGAGAGAAAACTAAACAGGTATAATTTTCTTTAGGTGAGTAACGGCTACAATCCCATTACTGATTGAGCTGGTTAACTGCTCGCTTTGATGGTATTATATATGCTTACCCACAAACACCATTCGGCTTGCTGTTGTACGAAAAAATTATGGTTATTACTTTTTCGTGTTATGAATAGGCTCTAGCATATGCAGCCCTATATACTTCAAGCATACTTCCTCCATCTACCTTTGCTGTCCAGGTACCGCCAAAACAAGAAGCCGCATAATTTATGACACATGTGTTAATTACCTGTAAAAACTTCTCAAGAATTTTTTTTTGTATATTTCCTATAATATCTTGAATGCATTTACAAACGCTGCAGAGTTGATTTGCTCTATTGTCATTAAGTTTCCTTAGGTTATTTCTAATAGAGCCATTGAGTCATCGATTAGACAATTAATTTTTTCAATCCATTTTAGTTGTTTTCTGGAGGTATTCCCTTAACAAGAAAGGAATGTTGCTGAATGGTGTCATAGTGATGGCCATAATCATGTAATAATATTACAATTTTGAGCAAATTAATCTTAAATAAAACATGTATTGCTATTTGCACAATAGATTATTACTCTATGTACAACGTTTGAATTCACTCTTTCGTTTATCAAGTGAATAAACATCGACTATTACCTTCTAATATTTTTGATGTTTACCATATAGTTTTTGTAATAGAAACCAAGATATAAACTTTTTTCTTCGATTTATGTATCAATTAAAATGTCAGCTGTTTTTAGGTTATAGATCAAATCTTAGCAGTAATGTATTATACCAACTATAATATATCATAAGCGAGCATGAGCAGAAATGCGTAGTAAAATGGGATGACTTTATGTACACATGGCAAAAAGACACACGAGTGGCGCCAGTGAATGGCTGATCTTTATCCTGGCGCAGAGTAGATGTTCCTGAAAATAATGTTAAATCCTGATGAATGTTCTTCCACCAGATCTACTATGAAAAACATTCTATCATCTATACGTACCTGGGCTCTTATCTTACTGTCGATTCGTACATTCCCATCCTATGGATTGGTTCAAGGCTTACCTAATTATCCAATATCAAGACCTTATTGCTGCGGCACTGTCAAATATCTATAAATGCCTAAACTAGTTTGAATCCGGATTGAAGCTTGGAATAGCTAAATAAATATATTCAGTTCTAATTATATTTTTTCTGTTATTCTAAACAAGCTGGAAGTGTTCGTATCCAAATACATCCTATGTATAACGAATATTACAGTATCATGAATTCTCAAAACAAATTGAAATTGTGCAAATGGCAACACCGAAAACAGAAACCTTGTTTTTAAAAAAAAAAGAAGTTTATAGGTATGTGCTTTTTTATATGCAAAGCAGAGGTCGGGTTTTTTTCGGCATTCGTTCTAATGGAGGTTCATTGCTCGTTAAATATAATTTTATACTACTAATGATGGATTCAAAGAGACTTCTGATTGCGCCCGCCATGATATGATTATGACAAGTCAGTTAGCAATTTTACTGTCTTAAATGCAGAGATGTATCCAGTATTTTCAACGATATCAATATCATTCTTGTTGTGCCAGTTTGAAGAGCGCAGCGAAATGTTTTTTGTGTAGATGTTTTGTTATTATTTCAAAGTGATACTCTCTGAATATAACTAGATACAAGGCTCTGAATACTTTTATTAACATAAAATATGATCTCTATTCATACTAAACTGAGTATGTTAATTCATGTTTATCCACATAACATCTGATGTTTGGCAGGAAGTGTCAAGCATTATACTATATCACAGCATTTTCAGGAACAGGCCAATTTGTTGTATCCATAGAATACCATGGTTACCACTATTTCAACTCACTTGTCATGGCAACCGTTCCTGGTCGGATCTAAGGTTAAATGGCATTGATTATTCTATCTAGTAAATAGAAGCATTCAATAGAATGTCTTGTATAAGAAACCATCTATTTGGGCTTTACTTATTCTAAATTGCGAAGCTCAACTTATCGATGAATAATTCACATTCATAACGATTAGCTGATTAAATATAGAAATAGGTCTTGCTCTGACTACTACTGTGTTATAATCTTGTTTGACAATTAAATGTCAAACATGACCTGATTGTATTTTATAGATTGATTTAGATAGATTTATTCTAATATAAATAGACAGCTTCTTGTCAATCAATAAATCAATAGTTTTGTATCTGGTAGACTAAGTCTTTATTACATTCTTACTGTTATATTTTTATATCACATACAATCACCTGCTGTGCTCATTTTCAAGACCTGGCACAACATTGGTAATTCTTTCACAAATAAGGAATAAGCTACAACAAGTTGTAATTGGACCTCTTGCAAGGTTCCAGGCTTATTCAAAGAATACATCTAGATCAGATCGCGGGATGTCTGTGATGGAGTACAATTATCTAGTAGTAAGGGTAGAATGATGTACTATGTTAATGGAGTGTTGGTGTATCTAATTGTTGACATTGCTATCAGGGTTATTACTACTTACTATATAATATATGTAGATATTATTGGACAAGAAGTAATTGACAGCAATGCGGCGATGGTTATATGAACTATAAACTTACAGTATATGTAAACAACGATCGGTAGTGACAGATCAGGTTTGCAGTGATAAGGATGATTTATAGATAATAGATTTTGCTAGTATATGAGAAATGTTTATGGTAATAAACTATAAAAGCTATTACAGATATTTTCACTAGCGTTCCAATATCTGGTAAAGGTTGAACCTATTTATAATAATTGAATGTTTCATGTAAACTGAGACATCATCATGTAATGTGAATCATTACAATGTCGGGAAGACATACTACCCAATCTTCTCTTTAATGTTAAATAGAAAGATAGGTCTGTCCTGGAAATGCTGTGATTTAATATAAAGGTTTGACACTTCTTGTCAAAAACATCAGGTGTTATGTGGATAAACATTGATTGGGATATATTTTAGTATAAATAGAGATCATATCTTATGTCAATAAAAGTCTTCAGCATTGTATCTAATTTTATTCAGAAAAGTCTTTATTACTTTATACAAATCATATTTACATAACATTACGCTGCGCCCTTTGACCACTGGCACAGCAAACGTATTTCACACCTGCTGGGACTGATATGAGATCGTGATATGTGAGACCTTGCCATGTTATTAATATAAAAATGCGGATCTTATATATAGTTTAAGTAATAACCTTGACAGCTGAAGCCTTGATAATTCTATGAGCTTATTGTTATAATTCATATTTATAACTGTAATGAAATGGCACCTATTATATAGCACCACAATTACATTAAAATAAAACCCAGATGGATCATGGCTGATCAATCCAAGAAAGAAATACATGAAAAGCACAAGTAAACATTAACAAGTGTTGGTAGAGGCTTGCACTCCTGATCAAAGTACAATCTCCTACAACACTGGCACATGCTAATGTTGAACAACGCTACTCATAATTACAAATAAACAAATTCTAAACATGTATAAACAATGCAATTGTCAAAACAATTGCAATAATTCTAGATGCCAGAAATGGCTTGTTTATTACACAATAAG